CCCAAACATATTAACCTTGAAAATAAATGACTTAAGCTCAATCAAACGTCATAGATTAGTAGACTAGATTAAAAAACAAAAGTTATCTATTCTTGTCTAGAAGAGATACATTTCACCAACAATTGATCAGCGGAAACTCTATCACATGGGTTTTGTTGTTTTCTGTTGGTTTCATCTCTTTAAAACACTTTCTTCTGATTAAATCATTCAATGACTCGTAGATCATACAGTGGCATCATTTTCTTCAAGAAGGTTCTTGACTTTCATTTCATCAGCGACACGTTAGACATTTAGTAGCATGTTATTTAACTTCCTGGTGTTGTTAATTTCATTTTTCTTTCTGATGTTGATTTTGTATTGTGGTTCTTCATTTAAGGGAAGGTATAGTAGCTGTGTAATGGAGACTGCCATATCTAGTAACATGTTATTTAACTTCATGGCATTGTAAATTTCTATTTTTCTTTCTATTGTTGATTTTGTATTATGACTTTTCATTTGAGGGAATGTGCAGTAGCTATGAAATGGAGACAAACATCCAGATGTGAGGATACAATGCAATATGCATTTCTACTTCCAAAGATGGACTTACAATGAAGCTGCTTACTATATCTTGACAATAGGATGCTGGACTCTCTGACAACCTCCATGCCCGCAATGATGGACATATGACTGTGTATGAAGAACTATACTTTAGTAATGATATAGAGGAACTAGGTGGGGGTGGGGTGGGGAGGAATCAGGGCTGGGATAAGGAAAATACCAGGAGCCTATGGAACTCTATCATAAAATGGTAATAATAATAAGATGTAAAAAAAAAAAAACCAGTTCTAACCTCCAAAAAAAAAAAAAAAAACCCAAAAACCCCAACAGTCAAACAGGAAAAAGTACAATACACCTCCCAGTTGCAAAATACAGAGGCTGAGGCCCAATCAGAGGAACAGAAGGGATTGTTACAACGGGGTAGGGGACAGAAAATATCCTTAAAGTGACAGGAATAAAAGGTGTACTTATGTATTTAGTTTTTAAACATCAAGGAACTGAACTCCTAGAGATATTTTGTCTTAAGATTCGGTCAGAGCAACAGAAAACAATCTTCATTCTCCTGCTGACAGCCAGCCCTAGAAAACAATGCTTTAGCCAATAAAGCCAGCTAAAGCCACAGCAAACATCTTAACTGTGAACTCTGAGTTAAAAGGAGGCAGGGGAAGGACGGGCAGTGGGAGGGAGAAGGCAGGTGGGCTGATACACACACCACACACAGCACAGCACGGCAAGCTGGGCTGCCCCCCCAACCATGCCCGGCATGGCACAGCAAGCCAGGCTGTGCCCCCCACACCACGCCTGGCACGGTATGGCAGCTGTCCGTGTTTATCACCTGCCGTGTGGTGTTACTTCTCTCTGCTCCACAGCGCCCAGTCCTTTGAAGTCAGACCCCACTTCCACTCAAGCAGCAGTGAACAGAGTCTCCCATGGGTGGGAGACCAGGCTGAGCAGGCTGTGCATGGGGGCCTGAGGGCTGTTTCCATGAACTGTACCAAGAAGGGCGTGCATGGTCCCAGGCCGCACCCCACCCAGACACTGGCCTACCAGCCACACATGGTCCAGTGGGTGGGGCCCGAAGGCAGGAGACAGTGCCCGAGCCAGTGAGGCACAGGGGCCTATGTATGTACCCACCTATGTATATTTCAAGATTCATCAGCATCAGGTTTGGGGATTTTTGAAGTTAAAAGTCAAATAAGTAGAAGGCCAGAGTAAAAATGCCAGAAACTGCTGAGGTTTCGGTCATTTTCTTTGACACTGGAAGAGCTGCTACCCCACATGCCAAGGCCCCTCGGGCATCACAAAGCCATATCTGTCCTTCCAGAGCCTGGCAGTCACACCCAGGACGAGCATCCTCACTGCCTCCGATCAACAGGCTGGCATGTGGCCCAAGCCTGTCCAAGCACCTGCTGACTGCGCACAGGCCAACAGATGCCAGTCCTGGGCAGATGAGAATCTGTGAGCTCTGTGGGAAACACCACCAGTACGATGCCTACAGGAGCAGGGAACAGATATTCTTGCCCTTTCCTGGGGCATCCTGAGAACACACCGGGAACACACAGAGGGCTGGGAGGAGGCAGGCAGCCACTGCAGGAGACCCGAGCAGCACTGACTAGATGCCTGGTACGTGGCGTGCCGCAGCCCAGAGCCCCAGGGGACAACTGGAAAGATGTCCCAGAGAGGCTGCACGGAGCAGGACAGCTCCCCGTGGCCACTGCTGGGATTCCCACAGGAAGCCTGAGAGGTCCTGGGGGAGCCCACAGACTCCACCTCGGACGTCCTCACAGGACGCCAGCGGGCCGGTCCCCTGGCCTCAGAGCAAGCTTCCACTCCTCACACATTTGCCAGCCCTGCCACAGTGTTACCGCAGCACAAACAGACCGTTACCACTAGCCAGTTACACATCTCAATCAGTGAACCGAATGTTCCCGACATCCACCTCTAGAGAACAAAAAGGGATTAAAAAACAAGCATGGCAGCCAAAGCCACCACCAGCCAGGTGTCTGTTCTACCCGAGGCCGATGGTGGCAGGCAAGGGAAGGTGGCCATGCGGCTCCAGCCCTCTCACAAAGGGGGCCGGAACACGGGCCAGAACACCACACCCAAATGTAAAAGCCAAAGGTTCTCCCAAGCAGAGCTGATAAAGGAGCAGGAACTCCCAGCAAGCAGTTCTGCCAGGAACAAAACCAGAACCAGAACCATCCAAAGAGAGGTGTGTGGGTGTGCCCATGGCACCCCGACGTGCCCCATCTCTGCAGTGCACTGAGATCTCATGAGCAGAAAACCCTGCCTGTGTCACGTGTCCTACGGGCCCAGCTCGAGTCACAGCTGCACACATCTGGGCAAGCGTATTCTGATCAACACACGCCCCCCCCCACACCTGGGAGGTCCTGCCCTTTATGCCCACACTGAGTCACCAACCTACCCGAGAGCGACACCTTCCCAATGTTTTTGCCTGCTTTGGTAGTTACACAAGTAAGATACACACCATTTCACTGTTGGCTTACTCCACCCCACATCAGGTGTGTGAACTGTGCGCAGAGCTGGCTAGCCCGTCCTCACGTGCAGTGCTCATCACAGACGTGTCCTGGGCTTTCACACCCATCCTGCCCCCGAGGGCAGCCTGTGGAGGGGCTGATCACGGCTGGTGCACCTGTCAGCAGGCAGGGCGGGTGGGTCAAACCTGCGTGTGCCCTTTGCCATTCCAGCCTTTCCGCAGGCGTGCCGCATACACCCACAGACCTGAAGATATGTCCATTCAGGCCACTGTGCTTGCACCACTCCAGATAGCAAGAACTTTCTTTGTTTTAAACACATTAAGAGAGTAGGTTTGACCTATTTCGTAGATAATGATTCTGAGAATGTAACAACTTTTAAAAGGCAAAAAAGCAAACAAGGATGCTAGAGATCTACATGTGGATGTTAGTGATGACCACAATTTGGCAAAAGCCTGATCTCTGAAATGTCTCGCAGTCAATGCTGAGAGACGCATGAATTCTGCAGCTTTAGCTTTCCAGTGCGAGAACTGTAACAAGCAGCGCCCGGCACTCCTGGCTGTGCTCCCTGGTGTTTGCCCAAAGGAGTTAAAAATGAGAGCCTGCACATGGATGCCGAAGGCAGCCTCGCTCATAAACACTGGCCAGGCCTCGGCGCCAACCTAGATCGCTGCAGGAGGGGGAGGGCCAGGGTGCATCCACGGGGAGCACCGTGCTAAAGTGCCACGCCGTGAAGAGATGCAGAGGAGCCTGGACTGCGCAGCACTAGAAGGAAGATGGTGGCAAAGGCCGCGTGCTATCTGACTCCAACCCGAGGACATTCTGGAAAAGCCAAGACCACAGAGACAGGCCGACCAGAGTTCAAGGGCAGGAGGCAGGGCTCAGGACAGTGGGCCACTGAACCATGCTGTGACGGTGACACACACCACGCCTGCCCAAACCCACAGAACTGCCCATCAAGAGAGCAGGGAGGACCTGGGTACCCCAACCACAGCCCAGGCAGCCACTCCATAGCGGGAGGAGGTGACAGTCCGCAGGGGGCTGTGCACATGGGGGCAGGATGTACATGCAAAGTCTTCACCTTCCTTTAAATTTTGCTGTGAACCTAAAAGCACTCTTAAAAAGTTACAACTAAAGCTTAAAACACACAGAATGCTGCGGGAAGCCTAGGTTGCAGTCCACGTCGCATGGACACTAGCCTCCAGACAGGTCTGCAGGATGTACAGAAGCTCTCCGCGGGGGTCACTTTAGCCCTGGGTGGCAGCCACCATGCCCAACGGGGGTTGTCTGAGCACCGTGGCAGGAGGAGAGAACACACACAGCTTATGGGCATGTGTTTGATTCCATTCACAGGAATGTTCAGAGCTGGCAACCCCCAAAGACAAAAAGCTGAGTGGTAACTGCCAGGGGCTATGGGCTAGAGGACACAGAATGACCAGCAGCGGGTGTGTTTCAAAAGCGGTGACAACGGCTTGGAGTCACACAGCTCTACTGGGCACACATCTTGGTGAACCCACGGAGCCCCAAACTTGGGAAGGGCTCATTATATGGTGTAAGAGTGGCAACTCAATGAAGCTAGCATTTCACGTGACATGCCCGACTCTGTGTAGAGCTATTCCACACATAAGATGTGGCTGCAAGTGCCATACCCGGGATTCAAACCCCCTGCACCTGTGCAATCCCAGTCACTGGGCCGACTATGTTGATGCCAGTGAGCAGAAGGGACAAGGCACAGGAATGGACCATGAATCCGGTCAGGGACCATAAATCCAGTCAGGGACCACATAATCCAGTCAAGGTCCCGCCCTCGCTCTCGGGGACTGCAGAAGGCGGTCAGGAGCCAGGAGGGAGAGGTCCCTTCACGAAGGCTTTCCCGCTGCCGGGGCTGCTCCTCCATGTGGCCCTCCCATGTTTCCACAAGCCTGCTGCCCGGTGCGCACGCATGGCCTGGGGCTGGGCACTCACCGTGAAGTGGATCTCCTTGACAGGCAGCTTGAGGTGCTCAAAGCCCACGGTCACCGTGTACTTCGTGTAGTTCAGGTAGCCCAGATGAGCCACGATCATCTCCGTGCATTTCTGCAGGGACACAGAAACGCCTGTCTCTCTCGGTGGGCACTCCTCAACCCCAGGGGAGCAGGACCTGACAAAGCTCACAGAGCCAAGACCAGCCGGGGGAGAACCAAGTGGGCATCTTGGGAAACACACTACATGACTTAAAGCAACTGGAACATTTCCAATTTGGATGACTCAGAAATACTGTGTCACCCGCATCAAAAGGTTAACCATGCAAGAAAGCCAAACCTGACATTTCAACAAAACCACAAGGCACAGTGGGAGTGTTTAAGCTAAGCCCCTCCGAGTGTGTCCTGCCAGCACCACCTCTGCGACCCCCAGGAGGACACTCAGTGTGGATGCCACGGTTCTCTCTCTCTCCCCAGTAAGCCAGCCCCACTGCTGGCCACGTGAGGCCGCTCCACCCCAGACACGTGGGGCCACAGCACTACCTGGATGTGTCCACTCAGCTGCCTGTCCCTGGCCCCTGTCACTCCCGGGGAAAGTGTCAGGTCCCCCTGCCAAGATGCTGGCGAGCCCCCGAGCAGAGCCTGGGCTGTGATCCGTGCACCTCACTCAGCACAGCCACAGGCACCAGCGTGGACCTTCACCAAAGGCCTGCACCCCTTCATGTCAGCTTGTGGGCAGCTGGTGCACATAACTGATGCCCTGCACGGAGACAGCGGCTGCCCTGGCTCTGAAGCCTGGCTCCCAAGCCTCTCATCCAATGCACTGCCCATTCTGGATGCTCCCTGGGTGCATCTCACAAGGCCCCCTAACCATGGCAGGGATCTGACATGGCTCTTTGCAACATGAAAGTGTAGTGGGCAGAGAGGGCCCTTTTCCCACAAAAAGCATCAGGTCTCCTGTCCCAAAGCCTCACCGCACCTAATGCAGATGCTCAGGCTGGGTCCACTGAGCCCACGGGTGGGGGATGCTGCCTCTCACCACAGATCCGAGCCCTCAGCACAGCCCTGGGGCCGGGAATGACCACTGATCAGGGCAGACCCTCTCAGCAGCCATAGGCTATCCATGTCTGTCTATAGCCACACCAGGCCGTGAGTCAGCTGGACGGCCACTACAGCTCACATGAGTGCACATTCCCGTGTGGGCGTGTGGGAGCTGGTGACAATGTCAAAGGGCATCGGGGTGCAAAGGTGGATGACTGCACTGAGGAACACCTGCCCAGCTGCAGGCCGTGACCGCCCACGTGGCCCTGCAGTCCTCACGCAGCCGCCACAACACTCACCCCCGCGCACGTGAGCGTCCTCGTCCGATTGTGGACTTTGTTATGAATATACATCATGGTTCCATCTTGAGCGACGCCATCCACCTTCACAGTTAAGGGAAAGCTCGTCTGGATAGAGGTTTCTACAAAACAGAGAGACACAGGGTCCAAGACAGCGCCAGGAGCTGGCGTGGAGCGGGGAGCACCTATGGGGCCCCCAGAGCGTCACCCTCGGCCCGCCAGCATCTCAGAGACCATGAATATCCCACCAGCACCCTATCATTCAGAGCTGACACTGAGATCAACATTTAAGAACCACTGACTTTACTTAATAAAATGGTGTTTTCGTGGAAACAATGGTATTACCTACTTTCACCCTGTAGCCCTTGACCCTTTGTACCCTAATAAACTAAGATTATTAAAATTAAAAAAAAGAAAATTAAAAATAAATAAATAAATAAAATGGTGTTTCAAGGCTAATACAATCATATTTTTCTTTTCCTACATATAATTTTAATGGATCAAAACAGAAAAAGATTTCTTATTTTTTCTGGTTATGTAATTTGTTATATTTCTGATTTAATTCTCATTTAAAAAAATCAGTGACACAGTTCGTAAAACACTTGTGAAGTGTGGATGAGATCTAGCTCCCTGCTAAGGTGCCTGGGAGAGGATGGCCTAAGTGCTTTGGTCCCTGCACCTACATGGGAGACCCAGAGGAAGCTCCTGGCTCCTGGCCTGGCCTAGTTCCGGCTATTGAAGCTGTCTGGGGAATGAGCAAGATATCTCTCTGTGTAACTCCTTCAAATAAATAATAATAATAATCAGAGAGCAAAAACATAAATAAAGGGTTAAATGAGTATACTTCCCCTAACTGCAATTAGCCTCTTTTTGATCCTCTCTTTATACCACTCCCAGACATACACAGAGAGAGTGGTATAAATTTGTTTTTGCTTTTCAGGTTATGAAAAGGGAATAATTATTCCGGGGTATCAACTCTTAAACTTCATTTGCTGTGATCACTGGTTCTGTTCCCATTTCTCTGGATCACAGGACTGAAAAGACCACTCGGGTGGCCATCTCCGTCCTCCCTAGGGTGACACAAAATGCATATTTCAGCTGCACAGACAGTCTCTGACACGCCAGGGGCGCCCTGGGCCAGGGCGCTTCAGCCTGACACAGCCGACACTCTGGAGAACAGAGCCTGCTGGGGGCGCGGCTTCCAGGCAGGGCGGGCTGTTCAGCTACATGGCTGGCCTTCAACACTCCCTCCCTGACAGCTGTGACTATCAGAACCACTCCCAGACATGCTCAGGTATCCCTGGGGTGCAGACTATCTCGGTGCCCAGAAGAGACCACCTCGGACTTCCAAGTATCACTACTGTCAATAATACACCTGTCTGGACATCCCTCTCTGAGCACTTGCACATGTTTTAAAAGTCCTTTCACCTCCAAGCATGATGCTTCGTATAAAGGAAACTACAAGGAAATCTCAGGCGCCATACTTCAAAACAGAGAAAGATTTCACCTGCCAGCTCACTACCCAAATACACAAGGGGCAGGACCAGGCCAGGAACTCAACCCAAGCCTTGCATGCGGGCAGCAGGGACCCGCCTGCTGAGTCCTCGCCTTCTGCCTCCTGGTGTTCATCAGCAGAAAGCTGGGTGGGAAGCAGAAGTGGCTCCTGAAGCAGGCCCTCTGATGTGGGACACCTGACCATCACCGCAGGGTCAAACACCCTCCCCAGACACCATACCTTTTGACTGATTCAATTCAACCACACATGTCAACCACAGCTGCTGATTATACTTCGACAGCGGATTTGAAGGTATCTGAATCGGCTTTAGCTGCAGCGGAGAAAAAAGGAAAGGATCTCCAGGGACCACTGAGCAGCCAGACCATCATCTCCACCCGCAAGAGTCCCATTTAGCGAAAGGCTTCGCGCTAGCCCTGACACACCAGGACTACCGTGTCTCCCCAGGAGAGGGACGACTTGAGCTGAGACTCACTCTCGTGGTCCCACCAAGGACTGGCAGCGGGGGCGCCTACCTGCAGCCTTGGGCTTATCTCCATCACAGGAAAAGAGCAGAGGGATGAGACATGGAATAAGGGTAGACTGGGGCACCAGAGACATGACTTCCGGGTCACAAGACCATGTGTCTTGATAATTCCTTCCTTGTATCAGCATGCCAGATATCTACAAGCCCTGGAGAGAACTAGAGGTGGGCCATGCTCCCAAGGACCCTCCTGAAAAGCACAGGCTGGGTCTGGAAGCAGAAGGCAGGGGTCTGAATGCATCAAGGATGCACAGGAAGTACTGCTGTGTTTCATCACTTCCATTTCTGTGAAGCTGCCAGCAACCAGCGACTTGCCTCAAAGCCACCAAAGCGATGGACCCCATCAGGCATGCCACCCAGGGCCCTTCACAAAGTCTGTGGGAAAATGGAATTAAAGGTTGCCTTGGCACATTGCTGGGGTCCGTGCAGTAGGTGTGGATGACACAAAGGTGTGACAAGAACAGCTCCCCTGTTTAGCAGGACCCAGGGGAGCTTCCCGCTGCATGGCAGGGCCCAACAGATGTCTCTGGAACCACCTGAGCACAGTTCCACCTCCCTTTGCAAGGACACTCGACCACCCTGCTAAGAAATCTGTAATCTATTGAGGCATTGTTGTTTGCCCCTGCGAGATGGTTTTTACAACCACTGTCAGCTTGGGAGTTAATACTGCTGACGTCTTGGTGAATGGGCCTTTAACAATGTGTGCTGTCTCAGTTGCTTTTACGGCCCTTCGGCTGGAAGAGCTCAAGATGTCTGTACTAACATATCATATGCTGTCAAACTAATTTAGGGTTATTGAGTCCATGGATGCAGTGGGGATCTATGTTTAAGGTTTTCTTTCCTCGATCTTTAGGTTTCTCCTGTTACATGGCCCATTGCTAACTGCAATTCTTTTTGCCTTTATAACTCCTGCTTTACCTGCTTAGCTAACAAACTGTGTGAGCCTGCAGGCCTAATGGCAACATGACCTTTAGTGCCAACTGCCCCAATCGCCATAAACCAAGGCCCCAGCCTTATTACCCACAGATAATTCAAGATCGGGGTCTGGTTGGCGCTCAGGCCTGAGGAGAGCAGCCAGGGGTTGGCAAGCCGAGATAGGCAAGGAATGCGTAATCCTTCCTCACTCACCTGTTGTGAATTGTGCCCCCCCTTGAACCTGTGTCAAACTGCCCCTAAAGAAAACTCTGCAATTGTACTGCTCAGAGCATGCACTCTGCGGTTGAATGGATGCAACACTATGACGTAAAAGGTCTGTGTCAGAGCTTGTGACTGCTTCTGTATAAAGAGGACAACTTCCTTGCATTGTCCATTATGATCCTGAAATTGTAGTGGTCCGTTTGTTTTCTCTCTACATCTATCTCACACACCCTTCTTGAGTTCTGAACTCGGCTGGAGCTGGCTTCTGGCAGCACATGCATTTGTCAAATGGATTCTTCACAATATACACTTTTTCTAAGAATTTCCTGATGAGCCCACAGCTGGCCCTCCATGCCCACAGGCTTTGAAATGGGATTTAACACCCTCAGATCACAGACAATAGGGCAAGTAAAACTTGACCCGCATGCAAGAGACTTTCCCGCTGTTAATTCTCTAAGCGATACAAGGCAGCCCCAATTCATCCAGCTTTCCCACTGCCAGGAACCCTAACCAGCCCAGTGCCTGGGAGGACACACATAGACCACACATCCTTTGGCACCTGGGACTCAACTCCAGCATTGTGGAGGAGTTCCTGGACCAGGCTCAGAGAAGGCCAAGGGACAGGTGAATTGTCCCTGCTCCCATGGCTGTCTCTCAGGAGCATGTCAGCATGCAGGGACAGCTGCTGTTTGCAGCATCAGGAGTCACACTCCAGGAGACAGAGACTTGGAAAGACAAGCGTCTCTCAGGAGACACAGCAAAACAAAAGGATGCAAAAAGATTGCCAAGACAGTTCCAAGCCGGGCAGGCAGAGGTCCGCCACACCAAGCGGAGCTGGACCGTTTTTCTCTCTAAGTCCTTTGGAAAAGCTACAGAAGTAGAGAGCTGACAGAGCGGTGGTGATTGAAGGAAGGAGGGACTCTGGGTCCCACAGGCAGACTGCAACTACGCCCATCTCGGTGCCCTGGAGATGGCAGGGCATATACTTAACAGAAACATGGGGCATCCCTGCTGCTTGGGTTCTCCTGAGTATTTATAAAAGAAAACCAAAGTCTCGAATGGAATGGACCAGCTTTTCCTCTAATTATGTTATTGAATCAAGGCACACAAACACAAGGAAACAAAGCAGTCCATTTATCCCGATTCATGCAAGAGAAACTCAAGAATTGCTGGAAAGAACGGTTGCCACGAGAAAACGGACACCAAGCTGAAGTCTCTGGGACAGACTGAGTCAGATGGGCCAGGCCGCGGGCTATCCCGGTCAAAATCTCCTCCCCATGGGGCTCAGGGACACGAGCAGCGACCCCTCCCGGCAATACCATTCTCCCCAGGGACGCAGGTGCTGGTTACAGCAGGCGGGGCAGTCTTGGCCAGCAAGAAGCCAGAGGCAACACTGGCATGAGGACTGTGCACAATGGCAGCTGACCCTGAAGACCCTATCGGACCCCGTGTCCGGGACGCCCAGCCAGCTCGCACGTCCATGCACCCTGACTTACCTTTCTGCTGTTATTCAGTGAAAAATTAGCTGCAGAAGTCTGGATCACTTTGGGTCCTAGCATACAAGAGAGAAAAGGGCAGGGGGGAGGGAACATATTTAATATGATCATTTACTGTTCAAATACTAACAGGACTCATAGAGTCTATGGACATGGACTTACTCCAGAATTCTCTCTCTCTCTCTCTCTCTCTCACACACACACACACACACGTGGTGTGTACTCTGCTGGGTGTCAGGTTTCCCAGCACACATCAATACTGACGGACAACACATGAGTTTCCATGGGAAGCCTTCCTCAGCGCTGTCCACACAAGTTCTCTCTAAAATCATCAACTCTGCAGACACTGTCTGTGGTTTGTGAAGAATAAGGGTCTCTTCTCACAACCAGGACACACTCATCTATTCACCCAGTTCATCCAATCTTCCATAAATATAATAATAATAATATTATAATATAATAAGTAAAGCTATGAAGAAATACAATATATACCAACACACAAATAATAGCATATGGCTTTAAAAAAATTTTTATTGAAGTTTATTTCAAAGATGAGGCGATCACAGGTTCATGTGGGTTTGTTCAGGAGTGGAGAGGATCAGGAGGACATGGGGAGGACAGGAGGAAGAGTTTGTCTTCCATGCTGTGTCCCCACATGCCAGTCTTCCTACGATGCTGGGAAGAGGAGGGCTTCGTGACCCCACCCCAGATCCTTGGGGAAGGCATGTACATCCTGGGGAGCAGACACACTACATGACACAGAGAGCAGGGGGAGTGCGGCTCCCACTGCCCTAAGCCAGGGACCTCCCGTCCCATCTCACTCCCTCCTCAGAGATTCTGCTGAAGGATACACAATCACCACATCTTCTGAGGTTACTTCCTGCTGATCGGGGGAAGAGGGCTTGCCTATCCTGGCTTCTCTCCTCATCTTTTCATCTAATTTCTCAAGACAATGGTTGTATCCGCTACATCATCATCATTACCCTGAGGTGTAGCTGGCTTCTGTGCACACGAGTCAACACCATAAGTAATCAAATCATGTAACATGTGTGTCAGGGCCAGGCGATACCCCCACGGGTTCTGAGCCCTGAAACTGGAGATCCTGACGTGTCTGAGATGGAAGGACATGCTGCCTGCTGATGCCAGCAGCCACTGGTAGGCCTCCCTGGACAGAGGGTGCAACAGCCTGGGCCGGGAACCCCAGCATGACAGCTCCTTAGGACCCCAGCCCTAGCTATCAGACGTGCTGATGCATGTTGACACCTGGTCCAGGAAGCTCTCCAAGCCATTTGTCTGGCCTGCCCTCAGTCCCAGCTCAGTCTATGGCTTTTCCAGAAAGATCAAGGGTGCAAGTTGCATATATTGATTCTCAATTTAAAAATTTACTTATTCAGGCTGGTACGTGCCATTAGAAGATTAAACCACTGCCCACAGTGCCAAAATCCCATATGGATGCCAGTTCCAGTCCTGGATGCTCCTTCCAATACTACTCCCTGCTAATGTACCTGGGAAAGCAGCAGTGGATGGTACAAGTGTTTGGACTCTGTACCCAGGTGGGAAACCCAGCAAGAACCTCCTGGCTCTGGGCTTTGGCCTGGCTCGCCCTGGCTGACACAGCCATTTAAGGAGTGAATCAGCAGATGGGAGATCGTTCTCTCTCTCTCTGTAACTCTTTTAGATAAGTAAATACATTTTTTTTAAAGAAACTTCTGCAGATATATGGATCTTTAAGACACCATGTTCAGTTCTTTTGTATTTACTCAGGAGGGAATGGCTGATCTTGCAGAAATTTGCAGGGAGAACCTCACCTACACTTACCGTAAGTACTGATGAAGAGGAACTTGCTTCTGTCATCTTGCTTTCCATATGTATCTGCTTCCCAAATGCCTCACAGCTTCTCTGTGCCTTACTTACACCCTAAAGTTACAGCACCCAAACTTCAACTTACAGCAGCTCAGCAACACCTCTGCCGCCTTAACAGCCCCTTCTGTGCCTCTTTCACTGCTCACGTCACAATTTTGACTAAATCATCTTTATGTATGCCCAAGATCTATTAAATTTTTTTTAAAGATTTATTTTTATTATTTTTTTCATTGGAAAGGCGGATATGCACAGAGGAGAGACAGAGAGGAAGATCTTCCGTCCGATGGTTCACTCCCCAAGTGAGCGCAACGGGCCAATACTATGCCGATCCGAAGCCAGGAGCCTCTTCTGGGTCTCCCACAGGGTGCAGGTTCCCAAAGCCTTGGGCTGTCCTCGACTGCTTTCCCAGGCCACAGGCAGGGAGCTGGAAGGGAAGCGGGGCTGCCGGGATTAGAACCGGCACCCATATGGGATCCCGGGCGTGCAAGGCGAGGACCTTTAACCACTTGCGCCACCGTGCCAGGCCCAAGATCTATTAAATTTTAATGCATTGGTTTTTTTAATTATATCAAAAGTAAAATGTGGAGTTACAAATCAAAATTAAAATACTAGCTTTTAGACTAAGTATACAAGTCTCATAAAAAAATAAGAAGTGGAGGCACATGCCACTGTTAAAATACTATGAGCATTCTCTAAATCAGATTTGCCTATTTGAAAGGTGGCGTTAGAGACAAAATCTTCCACCCTTGGGTTCACTCCCAAAATAATTGCATCAGGCCAAAGTCAGGTCCTTGGGACTCCATCCAGGTCTCCCGTGTGCACAGAAGGGGCTCAAATACTTGCACCATCCTCCACTGGCCTCTTGGGCGCATTAGCAAGGAGACGGATCCCAAGTAACAGCTGGGACTTGGTATACAAGAGAGCAGCATCACAGGCGGTGGTTTAAGCACTGTACCCCCAAACCTGCCCTCTTACGAGCTTTAGTAATTACCCATGGGGCTGCCTTTACCGAGATGGCACGAACGGCTGTCTAGTACCTTCATTTCCATCTACGGGACTCCCTATAGTAATTCCTTCAGTAGGTCGACTGGCAACAAACTCGGCTTTTGTTCATTCAGGAAGATCTTGACACATAAGAACAGACTGAGTCCCTCTGCTGGCACACCCTCCAAATGCCTGCAGTGTCTAGCACTGGGCCCCGCAGCAGCTGCGAGCAGGGGCGGCGGAGTTCAGTTCCTTAGGACGCCAGCCCCATCCCCAGGGTTCACTTCAGCAGGTGGCTGGACTCAGGAGCGGGTCATGGGACCCAGGGACTCTCCTACAGGACAGGCATGTGTCAACTGCTTGGTCACTGTCCTCTCTCACTGACAAAGGAGACCAGCTGCCGGCTGCGGACCCTTCGCTGACAGGCGTCTCAGCAGGGCGGCTGTCTCAGCCCACTGCCTTCTGGCCTCCAAGGTTTCCCATGAGTATCTGCTGCACATCTTATTGAGAATCTCTTGTACAGGATAATCTGGGGTTCTGTCTTCAGCTTTGCAGTCTGTAATGTGAGGCTCTGAGTTATCCTCCTGTGCGCCTGTTGTTCCTGAATATTTGGATTCAAGTCTTTCATCAAATCTGGAGTTTTCAACTGCTGTTTCTTTAATTACTTTCTCTGACCCTTCTCTTGTTTTTTTTTTCCTCCTGAGATTCCAACTTGTACAACCTGGTCTGCTGGGTGGCGTCCCAGGCCCCTCAGGCTCTGTTCACTTTTTCTTCAATCTCTTTCTGTTCCTCAGCCTGAGGAGCCATCATCCTGCTGTGAGCTGTGAACAACCCGAGGGGAGGCTCCGTTGCCGTTCGGTACCTGCAGCTCCAGACTCCCTCTGTCGTGGGTGTTCTGCATCTCTGCTGGCCCCTCCATTCTGGCCACGCCTTCTTTCTCGCCTTCCTCCATCTCTCTCGAGCAGAGGTGCCACAGTCTCAACAAGAGCATTCCCTGGTTTCTCTTTCTGAGCTGGTGTCTTTCTCTGGGAAGGTTCTGTCCCTGCACAGGAGCCTCGTCCTTCACCTGGGAGAGAGCTGGATCAACTCCAAGACCCCAAAGGATGCCTGAAACTGCCCAGAGCGCTGAGTCCCACGTACACCACCATTTTTCCTATACATACATCCCTGTGATAGATTATAAATCAGGTCCACTAAGAGACGAACAACAATAATACAACAGAATACTCCTTAGAAAACAGGGACTGTTTACTTCTGCCACTTCTTAGTTAACGTTGAATCACAGTTGCCATGGGCAACTGAAGCTGCAGCTGTACATCAGGCCCTGGTCCTCAATGTCTGGCTCTAAAAGGAAAAGAGAAAATGAAGCACGGTCGGGGCAGACTGTTGCGCCAGCCCTTTCAGTCACCTGGAACTCATTTCAGCAGGACTGACAGCCATGGGAGGAGAAGCAACAATGACCACCCACCTCACTGTAGCTCTGGGATTACAGTGATCAGAGTGGGGGTCTGCTGTGGCTCCTGCAAGCTGTGTGCAGGCTGCTCCAGCTGCACCGACCGAAGCCAGCAGCAACCTGATGTCCGAGCCTCGGCCTGGCAGCCACAATCCTCTAACAGACTCTGAAGTTCCCCAACAGCGCTGTGGCCGAGACCTGAGGAGGGAGAGCCGATCCTGGGGCTCGCTGCTCCAGCCCCCCAGAATCCTCAACTTCACAGATGCCTAGCCTGTGACTCTTCAGAGCTTTAGCTGCAAAGGAAGTCGTCAAGGCAGACACGGTGAATCGCAGTGACGGTGGGAACTGCACTTCTAAAGGGCATGCCTCAGTCTGGTGCTGGCAGTCTTCTGGGCTGCCTGGTGACCAGCCTGCCACCACAGCTGTCCACGAAAAGCAGGAGACATGCGTGAGGCAGCACGGCCACCTCTCCAGGCTGCGTCTCCAGTGCTGAGACGCACATCTCTCTACACAGGAAGCTGGTTTGCATCCACAACGAGGCTTCTTCTACAGACTGTCAGTTCAAGTGGACCCCCTAACCCACAAAGTTTGGAAAGAAGGGGAACCCAGCAGACGGGATAGGCTTGTGGCACATAGTCAGGCTGTCCCTCAGGGTGCCCAATCCCCCCACTGGAGGGCCTGAGCTTGAGTTGTGGCTCCACTTTCATCTAGCTTCTTGTGGATGCACATCCTGGGAAGCAGCCAGTCAGTATCTCAAATGCTAAGGTCGCTGCACCTGCTTGGGATCCAGACAGAGCTCCGGGTTCCTGGGATGGAAGATCTCTGTCTGACATAAACCAAGCAGCAGCAGTCAGGAAAGCTTGTGCTCCAGTCTTGGTTCACTAGGCTTTCTTGGTCTTGAGCTCCTCACTTGCTGATTTGGCTGCTCAGGCTCTGAACCTGCCATCACCTTAGCACACACAGTAATGAGAGTGGGCACTGTGCCTATGTGACTGCCCCCCAGGGCCTGGCATCTGTGAGGACATCTCTGAATGACACTTGTACCAGTGGCATGAGGAAAGCAGATTTCCCTTCCCAGGCGCAGCTGCATTCAGGGGACACCTCAACAGAACACACGGGAGAATCTGTCGTATCCGCCTCGGCTCTCACTGCTCCCATCTGAGACAAGCGCCTTCTGCCTCTGGACTCACACTTACGTGTGGACTGCGGCACCTGCCACTGGTGCTCTTGGGGTCAGACATCTGGACTTGGTTGGGCATGCAGGGAGTGCTCTGGGGGCTCCAGAAGCCCGCAGGCCAGTTCATGATCATTAACTCCACAGACATAGGAAGACCCTCATCTCCTGCTGGCTCCGCACGTCCTTATCTGGGTTTTGGCATGTGACTTTCCATTTCTGCAGGAGTATGATCACGGATGCCTGTGACAGAGTGGCTTAGGGACACCCAAGCTGGCTGTAGTTCCACTGAGCCTGGACACCAGGACAAAACAGTGTGGCCTGCGCAGTGACTCCAGACTCGCTGCTCCTTGCTGACTCCGCGGCTGCTTCTGGCATCACCATCAACCCAGCAAAATCAAGGGCACTGCAAAGCCAGGAAGGCTCCAAGGTAGCTCGTCCCCTCAGGCACAGGCAACCCCACCTGGGACCCACGGACTGGGCCTGGGTCACTGCCAAGAGTTTAGCAGACACCGTGCAGCCCTGCACCACCACTGCACCTGCCCAGGCCACAGACATCTACCAACCACCACCCCTGCCCCGTTCCCCACAGCCTGGCCCCCTCCTGCCAGAAAGCACCCAGGGTGGGGTACAGCCCAGTGCTCTCTGGGGAGCATGTGTGCGACTACAGAGGGTGTGGATTCAAGCCTGCTCAGAGCTGCCCAGGCCAAAGGGAGCCCGCTGTGGACATCCTCGGGTCCCACCCTGTACCGCCCTAGGAGAAATGGAGGAGCGGCCAGGGGCATAGGGCCGGGCACCTCCATGGGGGAGGGTTAAGAGAAACAGATGGCATGGCATGTGCGTGTCCCTCCATGCTGGGCTCCTGGGCACTGGCAGCTGGGCTGCAGCTGAGTGGCTAGGAAGCCACACTCCAAGAGGCTGCGAGTGGCATGGTAATTCAATAATGGCAAAGGGTACTCACCTTTGATACCCACGAAGACAGTCAGCCCAAAGCAGATGAAGAAGACAACAAACACCAGGACAAAGTGGCGCTTGGAGAGGGTATAGAGCCGCATGGGCGCCAGCCTGCGGGCAGAAACCAGTGGAACAGTCAGTGGGAGATGGGACAGTAGGGGGGGTACGTGGCCTGCACACCAGCCCATGCCATCAGCCATGCCACCAGGCGGCATCAGGCCCTGCCCGTCAGCCAGTAACTCTGGCCACACCAGTCAACCCCCTCCCAAGCCACATGGCTTTCCCTGACAAGCAGCCCCGATGCCCTCCGCGAGGCCTCCAGGAAGCCAAGCCACACACTCCATTGACGAGACCCCTGCCACCACGGTCTGCACGGTCTGCAGGGAAGGCAGCCCCACTTTACAGGCTGAGGACTTCTGTGTTGTGATGCCTGTGGCCAGCGTACCCCACCTCCAGCTGCCACAGTGAGCCCCAGCACAGCCATGGAAGGCAAATGCAAGGCTTGATGGGAGCCCCAGGCACCAGCAGCACCACACTGCTTGGCCACCCCAAGCTCCTGAGAACTCAAGGGAAGGGCAGCACAGGCTCTGGGGCAGAGAGGGAGTCTACGTGAGCAGGACCGAATCGGCGACCTGCAGTCCACATTTCCAACGTGTTAGAGAAACAAAGCAGGGGGCTGAGGATATTGGAAAGTCAGATAGAGAGGAAGGAGACACAGAAAGGAAGATCTTCTGTCTGTTGATTCACTCCCCACACGGCCCAGAACCTCTTCCAGGTCTCCCACATGGGTGCAGGGTCCCAAGGCTTTGGGCCTTCCTCAACTGCTTTCCCAGGCCACAAGTAGGGAGCTGGATGGAAAGCAGGGCCGCCAGGATTAGAACTGGCACCCATATGGGATCCCAGTATATGCAAGGCAAGAACTTTAGCTGCTAGGCTACCATGCTGGGCCTAAGTGCCTTAACTCTTTTAGGACTTCCTGTATCAGGGGCTAGAAGGGCCAGATGATGATGGCTGGAGGCCTGAGGGGCCTGGGTGTGTCACAGCGCTCAGCTTCACTCCCAGAAGCAGCTCTGCTTAATGTGGGACAGGGTTGTGTCCCAACTAGGCCGTACACTCCAAAGATTCTGCAGGGCTCGCCCAGCAGCCCTGGATCCCTCCTTAGGCCCCACAGGGAGACCCCAACATTAACAGGACAAGTGCGGGGGAAGGGTTGATACCAGCAGGAAGCGAGTCCCAGAGGCTGTTGACTTTCACACAGGTGTGTACGTACACACCCCTCTACACATCCGTGACTTTAGGGCAGAAGTCAACTGCTGGGCTGGCTGGTTTCCAGGGCGAGGGCAGGGCCCAGGAATCAGCACTGCTGTGACGTGGCAGTACTGCCACGCTGGCCAGAAGGACGCACTGTCCCCAGCCTCAAGCCAGCGTCACCAAGACCACTGGGTGAAGGAACCAGCAGGTCACACAATGTCTCCCCAGCACTCCAGCCCAACCGTGAGCTGCTACCAGCCCTGCCGGGGGAGAGCCCTGATGCTATCCAGGTGTGGCACCCCACAGATGATGAGAGCCCAACAGCCTCAAAACACCAAAGCAAGAAACGGTCTCCAGGACAGCTCGGGTTTACAGCTGGGAACACTGAGGCTGGAGACAGTGGAATTGTGCAACATGTCACAGCACTGCCCACTGGGGGAGAAGGCAGGATCCAAGTGCCAGCAAATCCTCCTGGGACACTGGCAGCACTGCAAGGGCCCCACCCCGGGGTCTTAGTGCTGGCTGACTGGCAGCTCACTTGACTCCCACACCATCTGCAGCAAGGCTGCTTCCACACTGTGCCCTCCACGCTGAAGGCAAGTGACACTATGCTAAACAGACGAGATGGTGGGGAAGCGTAAACCAGCATCACAGCTCGGTGCTGTCCTGGCGACAAGGGCACAGGCATCATGAGGCACTGGCCCAGGAAGCTGGGTGGTGACAAGGTACAGTCTGCCTGCTGTGGCAGCCACTCTGGAGTAAGACAGAGGCGGGGTAGTCCCACCCACCCCCACTCCACCCCCTAACAGGGCTCTCAGGCTGAGTAGCCTAACTGGCCTTACTGAGAAGGGGAAGCAGTGGGAGCAGCTACTTTATATCTTTAAAATGCATTATATTGGCACCTGGCACCATAGCCTAGCAGCTAAAGTCTGCCTAAAGTCCTCACCTTGAACTCGCCCAGATCCCTTATGGGTGCCAGTTCTAATCCCGGCAGCCCCGCTACTCATTCAGCTCCCTGCTTGTGGCCTGGGAAAGCAGTCGAGGATGGCCCAAAGCCTTGGAATCCTGCATCCATGTGGGAGACCCGGAAGAGACTTCAGGCTCCTGGCTTCAGATTGGCTCACAGCTCCTGTCGCTGCAGCCACTTGGGGAGTGAATCAACAGACGGAAGATCTTCCTCTCTGTATATCTGACTTTGCAATAAAAATGAATAAATCTTTCAAAAATGCATTATATCAGCAGGCCTATGGCTGTAGCCTAGTGGCTAAAGTCCTCGCATGCACCAGGATCCCATATGGGCAGCTAGTTTGTGTCCCAGCTGCTCCACTTCCTTTCCAGCTCCCTGGGAAAGCAGGGAAGGATGGCCCTAAGCCTTGGAACCCTGCACCCCTGTGGGAGACCTGGAAGAAGCTCCTGGCTCCTGGCTTCGGTTGGCTCAGCTCTGGCAGTTGCAGCCACTTAAGGAGTAAACCAGTGGATGGAAGATCTTTCTGTCTCTCCTCTTCTGTAAATGTGACATCCAATTTAAAAAAAAAAAAAAGTAAATCTTAAAAAAAAAAGAAAAGAAAAAAACAGACACACTGGCCTCAAGAAAAGAAAAAGAAAAGTGGTGTAGTCTGAGGCCAAACGTGGCAGGACCCCCCCCACCCCAGAGGGTGGGATGGTTGCATCATCTCCCTGTCCTTAAAAGGTTATCAGGGGATGTCCAGGCAAAACTGAGGGCACAGCCTGAGGGCACAGTGGGGCCAACACTGGCTGCAGGCAGGTGGGGACCACAGGCCTGCTCTCCGCTGTCTTCACACCCCACCCATGGGAGGTCGCTGGGTACCCTCCCACCAGGAGACTTGGGTCCAGAGCCCTTCGCAGCCCACGGCCAACGCAGGCTGGGGACAGCGTCCAGACAACACGAGCCCACCCGACAAGGCCTCCCAATCCGCCATCTGAAGCATCAGGCAGACAACTAGCCATCTGACAGCTCAGAAATGCTGCCAGTTTCAGCCAAGTCAGCTCCATGAGTCCAGACGGCAGCTCCGCCTGAGAACTGAACACTGAGAAGACGGGAGGAAATGAGAAGCCTCTGCCAGACCACCCACCCCATGCTGCAAGACCAGAGCGCTTCCAGCCTCCAGCCCAGGCACCACACGTCTCCTGCCCCAGTCACCTCCCAGCTGAATGTTGGCCCTGGTGACAAGACAGGCAGGCTGCAGGGACCCAGACAGCGGAGCACTCTCCACTCAGACCGGCAGGAGGGTGTGCTGGCCACACGCAGCAACCCTGATGCAGAGACAAGCAGGGCCACCATCGAGAGGCCTGGCCATGGGCCCTCACACCCTACCCATCGCACCTGTCACCACTTCACTCTCCAGGCAAGTTCCTGGGCCCCAAGTCCAGACCTCACCCTGCTCGTGCTCCAAGCAGCCTTCCTGCCTTCAGAAAACAGCCTGGAGCAGGTACTGTGGCACAACAAGGTAAGTTGCTGTTTGGGACACAGGCGCCCCCGTACCAGAGCGCTTGCTCAAGTCTCGGCTGTTGCACTTCTAACCCTGCATCCTGCTGACACGTCAGGGCAGCAGCAGAGGAAGACCCAAATACTTGAGATCCCGTCACCCACGGGGGAGTCAGGGATAGCGGCCCTGGCTGCCGACTTCAGCCTGGCCCAGCACCAGTACACCGGCACACGAAGGTATTCACTCATGCTCATTATTCATTCATTCTCTCTATTCGAATTAATTAATTAATTAATTAAGGGAGGCATTCCAGCAACCTGCCCACATCTACTCTGCTGTGAAATACAAAGTCCTGCATTGCTTTACGGGCAAACCGAACCCTTAAAAGCAAAGGAAACACCTGCTTCCCCTGCCCGTGTCCTACCTCTGTCCTCTGTTCTCCATCAGAGAGCTCAGGGTCATCTCAGCCCACCTCCTCTCCCCGATGCCCCGGCCAGCACGGAGGTGCTAAGTCCCGGCTTCCTGGCACGCAGGGCCTCAACGCTCCTCAGCAAGCCAGTGCCACTGCCTCCCAGACCCAGCTTCCCTCGTGGCTTCGCAGGGCTTTTCACAGCCACCCCGCGTGCCTCCTGAGGGCGGTACCATGAGGACCCTGTCACAGACTCAGAGTAATTAAGTGGTTCGCCTCACCCTTGATGGCAAGCAGTGAGTCAGCAGCACTCAATCCCACGAGCCAGCCATCAGAGGTTCATTCTCTAACAACCCGCAACACAGCCAAGCCAGGCTCGAGCTTTTCACTCCCACGCCAACCTCCTGACTGACAGCTCAGGTGCATCCCCCACCCCGACACAATCCAACTTACCCGGCCTTCAAGGCTCCCCTGTATGCCCACGTCCCTCATGGACCATGCTGCACAGCAGAGCACTGATGCCAGGCCCAGGGTGTCAACGTGGAGAGCGTGCAGGTGGTTTGGACAGCTGTCTTACACTAGAGGGCCTGGCATCCAGCCCCAGCTGCCCACGGACTCCAGCCTCCTGCTCATACACAGCCTGGGGGACAGCAGGTGACAGCCCAGGAGTCGAGTCCCTCCCACCTACAGAAGACCCAGACAGTCACCTGCTCCTGGCTTTGGCCTGGCCATGTGAGCATTTGGGGAGTGACGAGGAGATGCGAGCCCTCAGTCTCTATTCTAGTCTATGCTTCTCAAATGCAATAGATATCTACTCCAGTCAACTCTGTCGGCTGTTTGACAAGTGTCCGTGCAGCTCCCTCAAGTTGCTGGTGAATCTTGGGGAGCAGTGTGGGGGCTCCCTGACTCCTTGCAGACCTTGGGCAAGTCCAGCCCAGCTTATGTTTCCAGCCTGGCTAACCAGGGCAGGAAGTGTTCCTACCTCCCCGGTCAGCTCCCCATAG